CTGTTCTTTTGGCCAGAGGCAGGTTTTTATTAGTTTTTCTCCTCTTCTTCATTTTGCTTTTTTTGGCTGGCTGTGCTCATTGGCATTTCTGGCTTGATGACTCTGTGGTTCAAAGTCTGGGATATGTGCAACAAACAAGCAAAGCAGGAAACCTGTTTTTAGGTTCTGAGGTCCCCAGGAACATTTTCTGTTTCTCTCCATATCTCAGTCTCTACTCATGTTTGTTTTTATATTACATTCAGGGGTTTGAGTTGTTCTTCCTGGGAAGAATAATCTGTGCATTCCCAGAAATGAAAATTCTGCATTAATTTTGCTTGTTCAAAACATTACATTAGGGACTGAAGACATGGCTCAATGGTTAAGAGCACTTGCTGCTCTTCCAGAGGACCCAAGCAGGGGAGCTCATAACTTCCTGTAAGTCCAGCTCCATGGGATTTCACACCCTCTTCTGATCTTCATGGGCACTCACACATTTGGTATACACTCACACAGACACAACACATAAAGAAGAATTATTCTTTAAAAAGAAAAAAAGCTGCATTAGAATATTATTTGTCCTGTATTCTAAATTTTTAGCACCCCAAGTAAAGGCCTCACCCACCTCATTCTAGTCTTGGCCCCGATTAGAAATAATGTTAAGAGTCTATCACAGAAATTAAGGGGGATGAAAAAGGTTCGAGACATATTAAAATGTACATATATATACATATATACATAATTTGCCACTATTGAATCTATCCTAAAGAAGTACTAAAAAGAATTTTGCAAACAAAAAGCGACGTTAATTTGAAGTTCAGGTTGAGACTGAATGAATAACAACATAATGGCAAATTACAAGCAAAACCTGAATGTGAAAAAAAATCTGAATGGATACTATCTATGTAAAACAGTATTTACAATACAGAGTTTTCAAAAGTCAGAGACTTGGAGGGGAGGAAAGTAAACGGAATTAGCATGTTCCCAGGACTTTCTGTTATCTGGAATAAGAGTAAAAATAGCAAATCATTTAGATGTCTTAAATCATGGGTAGCTCAGTTGGTAGTGTTTGCTCAGCACACAAGAGGTCCTGGGTTCAATCCTTAGTACCTCATAAAACTAAGTATGATATTGCATGCCTGTAATCTCAGCACTAGAGGCAAAGGGAATCAGAAGTTCAGGGTCATCCTCAGCTACCTAGGGAGTTCAAGGTCAGTGTAAGCTACAAGTTGACCCTGTCTCAAAAATATTTAAGAGGGCTGAAGAGATGGCTCACAGTTAGGAGTACTGGTTGCTCTTGCAGATGACCCAGGTTTGGGTCCCAGCACCTACACAGCAGCCAACAATGGTCTGTAACTCCCATTCCAGGGGATTCATTTCCATCTTCTGGCCTCTGTGGGCACTGCACACACAGGTGCACTTACATACATGCAGGCCAAGAATTCATACACATAAAAATAAATACTAAGAAAATAAGTGTGGTGTTTTTTTTTTTTTTTTTTTTTTTGGTCTTTTTGAGACAGGGTCTTCCTGTAGCCCCAGCTGACCTGGAACTCGCTATGTAAACCAGGCTGGCCTCAAACTCACAGAGATCCGCCTGCCTCTGCCAAGTGCTGGGATTAAAGGTGTGCGCCACCACGCCCAGGCCCAGAAAATAAATGTTTTAAATCAACAATTCATATTATAAAGTCTAGTTTAATCACGGAAAGAATGTGTAACTACCAAGGTAAAAAAAATGTGTAACCACTAAGGTAACAGCAAAATTAAAATCCTTTCAAAGGCAAGGAAGGAGCCAAAAGTAACAGAACAGTAACAGTAAGACAAATAGAAAACATGTTAAGATTATAGACTCAATTCCAAATATACTAAAGCGACTTTAAAAGTAACGAACTGACTGGGTGGATCTTTGTGAGTTCAAGGCCAGCCTGGTCTACATATGAGTTCCAGGACTGGGGCTACAAGGAGACCCTGTCTCAAAAAGACAAAAAAAAGTAATAAACTGAGGCTGGGCGTGGTGGCACACACCTTTAATCCCAGCATTTGGGAGGCAGAGGCAGGTAGATCTCTGTGACACTGAGGTCAGCCTGGTCTACACAGCAAGTTCTAGGCCAGCTGGGGCTACACATAGACCCAAAAACAAACAAAATAAGCAATGGACTGAGCAGGGGCTGGAAAGATGGCTTAGTGGGTAAAGGTAAAGGTACTTATCACCAAGTCTGATAAACTGAATTCAATCCCCAGGACCCACATGTGGGAGGCAAGAACCAGCTCCCAAAAGCTGTTCTCTGGCCTCCACATTACTCCCACCCCCTCCCCACAAATAAATACATAAATGTAATTTTTAGAAGGTAATGGACTGAAACATTTTGTTGTTGTTGTTTTGATATAGGGTCTCCCTGTAGCCCCAGCTGGTCTGGAAATTGCTATGTAATCCCTAAAGTCTTAGGATTGTACCACCACATTCAGCTTTATTTAAGCTTACAGTACAGTCCTTCATCAGAAGTCAGGGCAGGAGCTCAAGGCAGGAACCTGAACCACAGACCATGGAGGTACTCGCTTACTGGCTTGCTCCCCCCACCTATGTTCAGTCTTCTTTCTTAGACAAATCAGGACCACCCAACTACGGTGGCACCACCCACAGTGGCCAGGGCACTCCTGTATCAACTAGCAATTAAGAAAATGCCTTTCAGGGGCTGGAGAGATGGCTCAGCAGTTAAGAGCACTGACTGCTCTTGCAGAAGACCTGGGTTTGATTCCTAGCACCCACGTGGCGGCTTGGAACAGTCCTTAACTCCAGTTCCAGGAGATCCGACAGCCTCTTCTGCATGACACGGTGCACTTACCTACATGCAGGCATTACACACATACACATAAAAATAATAAATTTTTTTTAATGTTAGAGAATGGTGGAGATTGTAGTGAATCAGATAGCTCAAATTCTAAAATAATGCTAATGTTCTCCATTTAACCCAATTCAGTCATACAGAGTTACAGCCCTTTACACTGGAATTTCTCCAAAGCCGCCTGCTTTTATATTTAATTTCTTGTCCTTTGAAATATTATTAAGAATGATCATAATACTTAAAATACTCCAGCAGACCAGTTCAACCTACAAGCTGCTAATTTATCCCCTTGCAGATTATTCATAAATTCCATTTTCAGTGTTCACTGTGTGCTGAAAAATTCCAGATCTCTACAGTTAGCTCTTCCCCCAACGCTATAAGCAGGCTTATACTTCCTAAATTAGCCTCTTTGATCTCCATCATCTCCACTTAGTTGTCGCCTTGAAATAATTCCTCTCATCACCATCCTCTCTCCCCGCTGGACCTTCAAAGATTCCTCTTAAAATGCTAAGAAAACCTGTTAACATTAGGCTACTGTTGAGTCTGTCTCAGCAACATTCTTCCAGTGCCTGGACCACTATGATCCAGATGTCTCTGCTTATAGAAGAGAACAGACTTCACACTTCACTGGCTTTCCTTGACACTCACCGCCCCCAACCCCCATCCCCGCCTTGTGCATAACATTCCACAACCCTAACATTTGGTCAAGATTCAGAATGTAGACATGTGTACCTCGCTCACGGCTGCATTTCACAGTTCCTTCAACAGTGAGTACTACAGAACTGTTGAAATGATTACATTTATTGAATTGCCTTTAACGCCCCCCTCCCCAATTCATCAACTCTTCGAGAGCTGAGACTACAACTCAACTATCGCATTACCCTCAAATGAGTCTGTCTGGATCAATGACTGAGCCAGCCACGTGCGGTAGAATTAAGGTCTTTAGAACCGAGGAGGCGGGCGGGGATGAGAGCATCACCTGTAGATCTTTCCAGCAGACAGGTCCTGCAGTCAGCAGACATGTGCTGCTGGCTGGCGGACAGGGCGGGCCCTGGGGAAAAGGATCCCCGGCGCCAGAGCGTGCGCGCGACCGTGGCCGTCCCCGCGGCCGCCCCGGAGCCTAGAGCGCACGTACGCCAGCCGAACTCCAGCGGAGCGGCTCCGGGTCCGGGCGGCAGAGGGGAACATGGAGGGTGAGCGGCCCCCGGGAAGTGGTGAGTGCAGAAAGAAAGGCTCGAGGCCCCGGCACCAACTAGGTGAGACGGCCCACCCCTTCGGGCGGAAAGGGGGCGGGGCTAGCGGGGCGGGGCAGCGGAACAGCGTCCCGGGACCTGTGAGAGTTTACTCAGAGTTGGCGGTCGGAAGTGCGGCACCTGGGCCAGGCTAGGCAGGACGGGCGGTGGGAGCGCGGCGCCCGGGACTCCCCGTTACTCACACAGCAAGGCGCACTCGGGACTCCCCGCTGCTCACATACCCAGGACTGCCCGGGCCAAGCCCTCTGCAAACACGCGGGAACCTCAGCGCCCGGCCGCCTTGCCAGGAGCTCAATCCCCCCACCCCCCCCCCCTTCGGCCCCTCCCCACAGGGGGTGGTGGGGGCGTGACCGGGGACTGCTCTGATTGGGGCTCTGTGTGCCTCCGCGTCAGCCGCAGCCTGGCGCAGTGACGCAGCACGTCGACGTAAGTGACGCGCAGGTCCGGGCCGCTCCTCCTTCCGAGTAAGTGCCGGCCGGGTCGGGGCGGGGGAGAAGAGGGAGGGCGCTGGAGGGAGAGGCGACCGGGGAGTCGTTGTGGGCCGCGGGCCGGACCGGGTCCGGGACAGCGGGAGCTCGGGCCGGGCGGAAAGGCCTGGCGGGCCGTTAGGAGGTCGCCGCGGCTGTCCGGCCCCCTCCCTGGCCGGACTTGCGCGCCTCGGTGCCAGGAGCCTCCGGCACTGTGCCCACCCCGCTCCAGCTCGCGTCTCCCGACTCCAATTAGGTCAGGCTCGGAGTCCCGCGGCCGCCGCTCCGGCCCGCGACGCGGCCGCCGCTCGGTTCGCCTTTCTTCCCCAGCCTTTCTCTCTAGCCTCCCCCTCCCCCTTTCTTTTCACGGTCCTGGGTTTTGTTTGGTTGTTTGCTGCTGTCGGGGTTTTGTTTCTTAGCCCGAGCTCATGGGTGTACATTATCATGCTCCTCTTTTGTAGAGCAGCCCGGCGGCCATGGAGGCTGAAGAAACGATGGAATGCCTTCAGGAGTTTCCTGAACATCATAAAATGATCCTGGACCGATTGAATGAACAGCGGGAGCAGGACCGGTTCACCGACATCACCCTGATAGTCGACGGTGGGTAAGGGTGGTGGGTAGAGGAGCAGATTGGAGCCTCGGCTCTCTAGCTGCCCGCCTTTTTTTTTTTTTTTTTTTTTTGCCCACCCTCTTCGGGCTCTCTTCCGGAATCTGAAGGGGGTGCATCATCCTGGTGGTCGCTTGTCAGTGTTGCTCACGTAGACCATGCTGCAGAACGCTGGTTGGCCAATCCAGCTCTTAATCTAGTCTGGCGTGCATCACATTTTAACTTCTGGCAGTCTGTTGAAGTTTTCTCATTGCACACCCTTGCAAGATAAAGGCCTTGGGGATAGAGAAAATAACCTCAGAATGTTTGGTAAGAAGATAGGCTCTCTCATCATTTTGTCAGTAATCCTCTTGTTGGTAAGCTGTTTGGAGGAGTTTAGCACAGGAGTCATTTGGGAAGTTTTGATTCCTTTCTAGTTTTCCAAATGGTGTGGAAAGGAAAATACAGAGCTACCTGGACTGTACTCATGCCTTTGGGAGCCTCCAAAATAAAGTGGGGTGTTCACCAGTCTCTGTTACTGTAGTGGAGACTGAGCCAGCCTGGGAGTCCTCATGTAGTAAAAATTAGATTCCAAAGCAAGTGTTCTTTATTATAGGAGTCTGTGGGTGCACAGTATATATTGTGCTTCCAACATATTAGGCATATTGAAACATTTCTCATACTGGGTAATTCTAACATTGTGCTTGCTTTGTTTTTTCATCTTTCCAAACTTTTGGATTGTCATATTGAATATTTAGTACTTTCAAATGAGTAGACTATGCCTCATTACTTAATTGAATGTAACAGTAAATGCTAGATGTTTGCTACCTAGTGTAAACTGGCTTTTATAAAAATGACTTGTCTTTGAAATAAAGATTTGGTTTCATGTCTAAGATTAAAATTTGCGAAGATAATTGACAGGAATGCTTGGGCTTTAATTGAATATGTGGATATGTAATATATGGAGATGTATTGAGAAAGGCCTACTTTATGCAATTTGTAGCTTTACATTAGGTTTTAGTGCTGTTGTATGATACCCCCCTCTTTATTTCCATTTAGGACACCATTTTAAGGCCCACAAGGCTGTTTTGGCTGCTTGCAGTAAGTTCTTCTACAAATTCTTTCAGGAGTTTACTCAAGAACCTTTGGTTGAGATAGAAGGTAGGTGATGTTTCACATTTTCTACTTAGCACGACTAATTGGTTTATTGGTTTAGTTAGTTGGAAGTATTAGGAGTGGGTATGAGACAGCTAGATAAATTGTTCCTTATCACTTGAGAATTCTTTCAGTAAAGTGCTTCGTGGAATGGTCTGCCAGGAGAAACTCATAAGTAGTAGATACTGGTGTCAAAGGAGTCTCTTCCATTGCTGAAACCAGTGTGTACTCTGTTTTTGAAATATGTGTGGATGTAAACTACATCTTTGTTTTAGTGACCTTGTGCTTCAGACTGGTAGGAATGTTGTAAGTTACAGGAGAGGCCTTTACTGTCAGAAATAGTGGTGTACTAACAGGTACAGATGATGGACAAATGAAATGGGGTGAACTAAAGTAGCATTCAGATGAAATTGTGGTTGTGTAATCTTTAGGAGAGAAGGAATCCTCAATTAAGTGTTACTTTGAAACAGAACAATCTTTATACTTGACTTTTTTAAAAAATAGTATACCAGGTACTAAACATTGTACTGTGTAGTTTATGTACTATCTGGGGCTCACATTTGTCTTTTGGAAAATAAGTGGTGGTATTTCCAGTTTGCACATGAGGGAACAGACTCCAAAAATTTACTTGCCCGAGGTTTGCAGCTAGCAAGAGCTTGAGTTTGTACTTTTAATTACGTGATTTTTTTTCTTTTTGCTACTATAACACTCCCCTGATGTCCCATAAAAATCCAAAACATGGGAATAAATCAATTTGCCTATGTAAATATAGAATCTTAGCTTCTTTCAGAGTGCTAAGATTTTGTGTCTTATTGCACATATATTCTTATGAATGAATTGCTTAGAAACTGTCCTCTTGAAAAAAATTCGATTCCTTGGGGAGTAAAGAGTTAAGAATATTTTTGTATATTTTGGTATATTTCAGTTGATAAATCAGCAGCTAGGTTATCTTTTGATTATGTATGATGGGCAAAGCACAGGCATAATGGATAGCCACAGAGATTACTGGTGAGGATCCTATCTGCCTGGGCGGGATTGCCTTTACTACTAGGCAAGTCCATCAGTCCTTCACCCGAGGCTTGCTAAATGGGTAGCGTCAGGCAGTTAGGACGCTTAACCTGTCTGAAAAACTGGTTATTAGGTTTGTAATGGTTAGTTGAAATAATACACACAGAAAGCTCGTCATAGTATTTGGTATATTGCCAAAATTTAGTAAATAGGAGCTATTTGTCATAATGAATACCTGTTACCTGTTAACATACTCTGCTAGACCCAAGAGCTGAAGAATTTTTGAATAAGACATCCCTTAAAGAACTTGGAAATAGAGCAATGATTAAAAAAAGAGAATGTAAAAACAGACTGTTTATATGGATAGTATCGTTAAGAGGGAAGAATGAGAGGTTTAGTCTAAGTAATGATTTCAAAGAGGAATTAATTTTAGACAGATTGTTACAAAAATTTTTTATATATAAGTGTGTGTGTTTGGATGGTACATGTGTGCCCTGTGCACATGCCTGCAGGCCCAAGGTTGACATCTGGAGTCTTTTTGATGGCTAGTCTGTCTTGTTCATTGAGGCAAAGCCTCACAGTTGGACCCAGAGCTCACTAGTTTGGCTAGCCTTGTCACCATCTATTGAGTGCCTGAATTACAAGTCAGTCTCTGTACCCACCTGGCATTTACATGGGTTCTGGGGATCCAGACTCCAGTTCTTAGGCTTGCACAACAAGCGCTTGAACCACTGAGCCATCTCCCCTACACCTAAACATTTTTTAAAGTGGCTGAGGTTAGAATATCTGTTGCTAGTTGAGAAAGTAGCACTAAAGAAATAGGATTTACTTTTCTGAAACTTAATTGCCTTGCAGTTTTCTTTTGTACCTCTCAGTACCTCTGACCTATGTTCATTGTATTGTGGTACACATAAGCCTTAAGTATTTAAATTGTAAACAGAGAAAATTGAAAATATTTTGGTTTTGTTACTTGGCCAGGTTTAGGGTTAAAGAATGAATTTGGTTGAGTGTCATCTTTAACACTTAACTCTGAGGTTGCTGTCATCTTTAACACTTAACTCTGAGGTCGAGGCAAGGTCACATGACTGTAGAGAAAGCCCTGGGCACATTATTAGAAAACTTGAGTTTTGGTCTTGGCTAGTTCTGTGACTTCAGGTGTCTTAGTTTATTTTTTCAGTCTTTAAAATAAGTGAAATAGGGATTTGTCATGGAAATTTGGTGTAAGAATCGGTGCTATTATAATTCTCTTGCGACCTGGGCTTGGTGGTGCACGCCTTTCATCCCAGCGCTTGGGAAGCAGAGACAGGTGGATCCCTGCGAAATTGAGGCCGGCCTGGTCTACACAGCAAATTCCAGGCAAAGCTGAGGCTACAGGGAGACCCTGTCTCAAAAAGACCAAAATAAATAAATACATAAATAAACTAAAAAATGATCCTCTGGAGAAAACTTTTGTTTTTACTTTGTTTGCTTTAGCAGGCAAGCCACCTGGTTGAGTCCAGGTACCCTCTAAGCTGTGTATCCAATTTGAACTTAATCTCAGTATAGTACCACACTCCTTTAATACCAGCACTTGGGAGGCAGAGGCAAGGGTAGGCAAGCCTGGTCTACTTAGCAAGTTCCAGGCCAGCCAGGTCTACATAGTGAGCTCTTGCCTCAAAACAACAAACCCAACCCTTGTAGTCCTTGCATGGTGTTAATCCCATCACCAAGGAGTCTGAGGCAGGAGAATTGGAATTTTGAGGCCGGCATCTAGTATCAGACACACATAGATATCTTTGTGTGCTGTCAGAGTACCAGAATCAGAACAACAGCTTATCTTGTATTGCAGAGGAGGAGGAAGACAAAAATTACCAGATATCCTCCCCACTCTACCCCCTCTTCACCTTCCTGGTTCTCTAGAGTTTCTCTGGGAGCCTTTTTTTCTGTTTACACCCATTGCTCATTTATGGGGTTTAATCTTTTCCTCAAGTCTAAGTGAGGATATATGGGAGGAAAAATGAAAAACCATAAAACTCCCTGCTCTCTGATGTTTGATTGCACTTCCCAATCTGCTTGCTTCTGTTTTCAGAGTCCTTATATATTTGTTTATGTATTCTTTTCAGGACCTTTAGTTGTAATCAGTGGACAAAACAGGGTGGAATGTGCTTGTGCTTTCTGTCTTAGCTACAACTAAAGTCCCCATCTATAAAACATGAACAGTGCTCTTAGAAACACTGGATTCTTTGACATATACCAATACTGTATCTCCAGATTAATTAAATAAGTCTTTTGAGGGTGGGGATCCAGGCATCTGTTAATAGAAGTTTGCTGGTCCTTTCATTATTCAAGGTGTTTTCTGTGGACTAGCAGTAATTCATTGAAATCACCTGGGAGTTTGTTGAAACTGGGCTCAGATCTCACCAAGAACTGAGTCATAAGATGATCCTCACATGATTCCTATGCACAGTGAAGTTTGGGCAGCCCTGCCTATTGATTATTCTGAGAGTAGTCTTCAACACCACAGATTTAGAGGATTATGTAAAAGCAGATGACTTTTTGGGATGGGAGTATTTTTGAGACAGGATCTCCCTGTAGCCCCAGCTGGCCTGGAACTTTTCTATGTAGACCAGGCTAACCTTGAACTCACAAAGATCTTCCTGCCTCTGCCTCCTAAGTGCTGGGACTAAAGGCGTGAGACACCACACCCGGCATAAAGCAGATGACTTATATGTAAAAAATAAAAACAAGGTAGGAAAAAAAATTTATGTTCTGTGGGTATTAACCTATTAGAGGGAAACTGAACTAGCTCTCCCTATTTTCTGGTTTATTTTTTATTTTTTTGGTGTTTTTGAGACAGGGTTTTCTTGTAGCCCCACCTGACCTCGAACTAGCTGTGTAGACCAGGTTGGCCTTGAACTCACAGAGATCCACATGCCTCTGCCTCCTGAGTAGTGGGATTAAAGGCATGTGCCACCACGCCTGGCCTGTTTTCTGGTTTCTTAGTGAAGTGAGTTATCTTTGAGTAGAAGTACAGGCTCACCTTTGACCTCAAATAAAACTTGTTGGCTCTTGTAGCCAGTTGCATACCAGGTCAACTTTGTGACTTGAATTTAAACTACATGTAATCATCAAGAAACATCTATTTCCTAGTTTAGAAAGGAGACTACCTTTCTAACTTCTGTTTCTGAAACCAAAGTTCCAAAATCATCTGGTTTCTCTTTAATGGCCATTCTTCTGTGTTTCCAAAAATTTCTAAAAACAAGACATCTAAGTACATGTTAAACATTGTTTTGAGTATGCACCCCCCCTCAAGACTAAAGAAATGTCAGAATACTGCCCCCTTTGGCTAGTTTCTAAGTGTTACTGTCAAAGTATTGACACTTTTCTTAGGTAATCTCTTAGAAAAATTGTGCTTTTTGAATATTCCACTATGAAAGAATAAGGGATTAAGAGAATGTTTTAATCCTAAAATACTATATTTTGTTTTTACAACCATACATTCTACCTCCACTTACTAGGGCGGATGTTACCAGTTCAATTCATATTAGCTAATGAGTCAAGTCAGTGGTTTGTTCCTATGAGAGTACTGGGCTAGTTACATAAGAAGCATAAGGTGCTTAAAACAAACAGACAAAAAAGTCTTGTTCCTAGATTTGTTTCTAAAGATCAGGGGCCCATACTTTATTAAGCCCACAGAAAGGGTGGTGAGATGACATCTTTAGTGGTTATGAGTACATACTGCTCTTCCAGAGGACCCACATTCAGTTCCCACCACCCACATAAGGATGCTCACAACTTCATAACTCCAGCTCTAGGACATTTGGGCCTCCCCAGGCCCAAATAACCCAACAAACACCCCACAAATGATTAGGAACCGGGGGCTAGAGAGATGGTTCAGCAAGTAAGACTGCTTGCTATGCAAGCATGAGGAACTGAGTTCCGCTCCCAGTAGTTAATATAAAAAGCCTGAACCCCAGCACTGTGGGAAGTGGAAGTAGGAGGCTTGCTCGGGAAGCTGT